GACATGGGGACCCTCCAGGGCAGGGGCAGGGACACGCAACCCCTTCCCCAGCCCGGGCACCCAGGCAGGGCGACTCCAGCCGCACGGTGCTGGGCAGCCCTTTCATTTCTGCCAAAAGGTCAAATCCCCCCACCAGGCTGCGTTCCTGCAGGGCTGAGCTGCCCCAGAGGGGCTGAGGCTCATCCTGGGCCACGGGAAGGCTTGGTCTCAGGTGGGTGGGCGAGGTGGGTTGCTCAGGGCCAGTGTCTGTGGGGAGGGGTAGGACCGGGGCAGCCCCTCACATGCAGCTCACTCCGGGCATTCGCAGGTGCCTCCTCCCTGGGGACCCCCATGCTGCCAGCGCGGTGCGCGGTGGGACTGGGCTGTCCAGCAGGCGATGGGGTGGTCCGGCTTTGGTGCAAGGGCTGTCCCGCATCGAACCTGCCCGCACACAGCGAGCTCTCGTGATGAGTGAAACCACCAATGCTTCCCTCGTTCCCAGCGTGCACACCCACGTTTTTAATGGAGGACCATCAAACTCAACAAAGCAGACCAGAAGCTCCCAGAGAAATTCTGGGCTGTGTCCTGGGCCCATGTGAAATGAGTGGTTCTCCTGGCATGGCTGTGGAGAGAGTCCCCCAAGCCTGGCAGCACTAGGGGGGCAGGAGGGGAAGGCATCGGCACGGGAGCAGTAGGCAGGGGAGGGTTTGGATGCTTTCCCATCCCAGTTTCTCATCCTTTCAGTGTGGGTGCAGCAAAGCCTCCCCCTGCGATCGCAGGCTCTAGCAAGAGATGTGCTGCGATGACTCGGTCCAGCGCGGAAAAGAGGAGCGAGCCCTGGCTTTCAGTCTGCACAAGCCTGGAGGCAGGGTCCCATGCCAAGGGCAACGGGAAGGGTCCCACTGTCCCAGGATGTGGCCTAGGAATAGTCCTCTTCTGAGCAGAGCCCACGCTAAAAGGACTTGTCATAGGTGCTGGAGCAGTACTCCAGGTAGTCGAACTCCTTGACGGGGAACGTCACGGCACTCCACTTCTTGTACTTCTTCTTCTCAGCTGGGGTCTCCACCACAAAGTTTTTGATGCAGAGGATGGGCAGCTTCACCTGCCGGTAGATCATCTCCATTCCCCAGTCCTGTGTGGGCAGGGAGGGGACAGTCACGCCGCCTGCGGCACAGCAGGGCCACGCACACCTGGGATGCGGGCAGCTCCTTGCTCCTGGGGTACGTCCCCCTTTGGAGAGAGCTGCCCGTGACCCTGTCCCGCATGCGCAGCGCACACATCCCACGGGCACGGGAGATACAGCTCCGTTCCTCGGCCAGGAGCTGGAGCACAGGACACGGCCCCTCCTGCCCCCCCAACGCCGACTGGGCCGCAGCCCTGGGGGGGATTTGCCACGCTCACCTGGCTGCACTCACTGCACACGATGCGGCAGCCGGGCTCCCAGTCCTTGAAAGTCCGCTGGAACTGTATTTTCCCAGAGGAAGCTCTGTAATACAACCTACAAGGAAGGGGCCAAAAGACACTTTAAGGTCAATGGTCCAGGGGACAGAAACAGAGTGGGTGCTACCATGGTCACACAGTCCTACAAAGCCCCCACAACCTTCCTGGAGCCGTGTCCCCAAAAAAGAGCTGGCAGCAGGCTGCTGCCACCCCCTGCCCCTCCTGGGTGGAGTGCGGCAGCTCGTGCCAGTGACGCCTGACAGCCGGGCTCTGCCCGCTCGCCCCTGCCCGCACCCAGCTCCTACCCGAAGTTGGGGTTGATGTTAACGTGGTGCATGCCCTCCACGGTGCGGATGTCGCTGCCGCGGCACACCGCCGTGTTGCAGTTGACGCAGTAGAGGTAAACGGCATCCGGGTCGTGCAACTGCCGCCTTTCACTGATCCTGGCCTCCTTCATCAGCCAACTGGCAACGGCAACTCGCTGCAGCTCCCTGATCTGCAGAGGGCAAGGGGGGGAAGGCAGGATGGCAGGGAGGACGGGGGTCAGTGCAGGGCGGTGGGCACGGCCAGACATGGCAAGACACATGGCCGCAGAGAGATGCATCGTCCCGAGAGAGCGCGAGCCGCAGGGCGGGATGGGCAGGGCAGGATGGGCACGCACTGCCCCGTGCACCTGATGCTCCCCCCTCCCAGGAGCTGGTCCTGCCCCAGGGGGAGAGCAGGCGGCCAAAACCAGGGTGCAGGGAGCTGTGCCCAAGCAGCGGGCGCAGGCGGGAGCTGCCTGGCCCTCCTGGTGCCCAGTGCCCACCTTGAGGCGGTACTCCTGCTCGGGCATGGCCTGCACCGCTCTGATCGCCCTCTCCATGAGCTCCACGAGGTCCTCGTTGAGCAGCTCACGGGAGACCTCCCTGCTGTTGGCTTTGGCGAGGATGGAGTAGACGCTGTCCTTGGCACGGGCACGGCCCCGGGCCTGCAGCAGAAGGGCCAAACGCTGCGGTCGGCAGAGGAGGCCCATGGCTGCCCCCCCCCGCCTCCCCGTGCCAGCCAGCAAGGATGGAGCCACCCTCTGCACCCCACTGCGCCTCGCCAAGGAGCTGCTCTGCCAGGGGCTGGGCTCATCCCCAGGGAGCTGCCAGCAGGCGTGGGATGCGAGAGCCCCTGTGTCCCACCCCCCTGGCTTTGGGGTGTCCCAGCAGGCTGCCCCCCATGTGGGGCCGGGCAGAGTGGCCGGAGGGAGCCCGGGCAGCTACCTGCATCATGGCGATCTCGTTGGTCATCAGCCCGTAGCGGACCACGATGTTGCATTCGGGGATATCCAGCCCCTCCTCGGCCACACTGGTGGAGAAGAGCAGGTTGAGGGCTCCCTCGCGGAACAGCTTGATCACATCCTGCTGCTCGTTCTGGGGAGAGAGGGGGGTGATGCTTCAGCAGCTGCACAGGGCTCTGAGCCCCCAACAGCACCCCCAGCACCCACAAAGTGTGCAGAGAGGGGTAGGAATGGATCCCTCCCAGGACCCTGTCCAGCTCCTTCCCACCCTCTGCTCACCTGCGTCATGTGCCTGGTCTGGTTGCTGTAGCCAGCGCCGGTGAGGACGGCAGCCTTGATGTGCTGCCTGCAGAGCAGGGCTGTGTCCTGCAGCCAGCTGAGCAAGCTGTGGGCGCTCTGCCGGGTCTTGGTGAAGACGATGCCACGAGAAGCGCCCAGGGGCTGGAAGTGCTCCCGCAGGATCTCCTCCAGCTTGCCCAGCTTGGGGTTCTCATAGCGCTGGTCCCCAGCGAGCGCCTGCAGGCTCATCCTGTTCTCTGTGCAGGTGAGTTCGGTGTCAGGGGGGCTCCCCACCACTCCCCAAACTCAGCCAGCACCAACCTCCCTCCAGGCCCCTCCGATACCCTCAAACATGGTAGTAAGGAACTGTTCGGTGGGGTCCTTCATGTCCCGCTCGGTGGCGTAGAACTGCTGGAGGCACTGGAAGGCGTCGATCATCCTCACCGTGTCGTTGATCAGCAAAGCGTCGTTGTACTTGCGCAAGTGCAGCGCGCACACCCGCATCTTGCGACAAAACGTCTCTGCCGCTGATGGGGACCAGGGCACGTCATGGTCACCGCCTGGCCCCGCGGCTGCCGGCTCTGCCCTGCCACACCCGCGCTGCCACCTCCTCACCTCTCTTCTCCAGCTCCACGATGCGCTGCTCGTAAATCTGCGTGCCAAAGTCCCGCGGCAGGCTGGGCATCTCCATGTACTGCTGGATCTGCTCCATCACCTTCTTCAGCCGCTCGCCAAAGGGGTCCTGGGAGCAGAGCAGGGCTCAGGACCCGAGGAATTGGGGACATTGCTCCCGACAGCCTTGGAGATGCTGCCCAGAGCGCCTGGCCTGGGGTTAGGGGCTGTTTGCATGGCAGGACCCGGACGGTTGCAGGATCCCCCTGCGCCGAAGCTCTGGGTGAAGCAATTCCTCAGATTTTCTAAGCGGGTGGAGGGACACAGCCCCCGGCCGCCCCTCACCTGCACTCTCTCCTGGCAGAGGTCGTACTGCTTCTTGGGCTGGGGGACGTGGCTCTGCAGGTGCTGCAGCTCCTCCTGCGCTGACGTGATTTTCTCAGCGTCCAGGTTGGCACAGATCTGAGAGGGTGAGACCGCGCTTCCAGCCCCGAGCCCCGGTAACCCAGGGCAGCACGGTGCTCGCTGGCACCCCAGCAAGTTCGGGGATGTCTCCCCCCGTACTGCCCAGCACCTGCACATCAGGTTATCAACACCCACCCCAAGGGACACCCTGCTACACCCCAGGAGAAGCTATGCCTGAGGCCGTTGCACCCTGTCTTGGTGCAGGATTGGGGGGAGGCGCAGGACCCACCTGAAAGACGTGCTCTACGGCCCCCTCGAAGGAGGTTGCCCCCCCGGTGCCGGGAGATGCCGTCAGGCCCAGGACCTGTGGCAGGTTCTGCTGCCCCTGGAGCTTGCGCTGGAGGTAATTCAGCATGATTTTGTTGTAGACGGCTTCCTTGTGGGTGTGATGGCACTCGTCTATCACCAGCAGTGAGAAATCTGCGCCGGGTGAAGGAGGGGAGCAGGGTGAGCGGAGGAGGCTCAGCTGGGGCAGTCCCACCCCAGCCCGGCCGTGGGGTGAGCAGCACTGGGGGTCCCGTGCCCACCCGTCAGCTCCACGTGCGTGTCCTCCTCCCTGCTGACCAGGGCTTTCTGCAGGATCTGGGCCGTGCAGATGACGACGTCGCTCTGCTTCACCACGAAGGCGAAGAAGGACTTGTGGCTGCTGTCCCCGCTGATGGCCGTC